CAATCCAAGATCAGGATAGTACAAAATTCAATCCTGATCCCGGATTGTCCTATCTTGAGTTGGAATTCAGGAAATTCCATTTTTGTTTTTAATCTTGACATTTATTCTTAGTCTTCTTTATTAATTAAATTTCGGATATTTATGTAGAATATTGATTTTTTTTATTTATTAAATCCTGGCCTTGCAATCTTGTGCTGGGRTATGAAAAATTCGATTTTCTATATTAAATATTTAAGACTCATCSATGTTTTGTTTTAAATTTAAAAGTTTGATTTTTCAGGTTTGTAATTGATTCTTCAAATTAAAAAGAAGATTTTTTTTCCTATTAGATTTGTGAGGTTTACAGTGAAATTGGTGGAGGGAACTAAGATGGTAGAGAAATTTGCTTTCTTGAAAAAAAATGTGGATATTTTAATAATTTTATAAAGACAAAAACTGACATTAGGTTATTTCTCAAAAAAAAAAAACTAATTTTTGAGAGGAGTCACCAATAAGATTCTTTAAAAAATGATCAAAAGTCCAAACGGAATTAAGAAAATAGGAAAAGTCCCAATTTTCCATTTAAATTAGAGAAAACGGCAAACTTGTAAGTATTTTATATACACTTTGACGGACTAAGAAGGGGGTAATCCTCTCCTKACTTCTTGGCTCTACTCCTAAAAATGTACMTAATATGTTGATGTCGATTTCTAGGCGAGTGTCATGTAAGTATTGTGTGAGTGCCGTGTACGTTTTCGTCTCCTATTTTAAGTTAGGCTTGCACACATAAATCTAGCATCAATCTGATACTCTAGCGATCGCACTCTGATACTTAATTCAATATTTAAAGTGGGAACAAACGAGTACAGGCATGRAAGAATAATTGTAGGAATCTTAATGAGAGTTTGCTTAGTAGTGTGAGTAGGAAACTTTCATAAGGGTTCCCGTAAGAATTCTCCCGTAGAAGTTTTTTTTTTCTTCATAGTAGATGTTACGTACCTCATTTTAATATTTTAGTGTCGTTTATACATAGAGAAAATGAGAGAGTAGATAGATGGGAGGTGTGGGGACCTCTCGTGACATTCCGCATCCTTTTTCCTGTCATTTCAAAGTGGCGTGGAAGTGTCTAGAACAATCATTTGACACTATGTCAAAAGTTCCGTTKGGTGAGTTTGTTGGTACCTCTAATGYATTTCCGCGTCCATTCGATGCACTTGGCTTAAATTCCTTCTGGTGTGCTTTGCGCACCCTCTTTATAGGTCAGTTGAGTTGCACTTGCACGCATTAGCATTGGGATGATCCATRTGGCGCTCCAAACTTACCCCTCAACATGATTCTTATTATATTTTAGCTTTTTATTTAATAACATCATTCGATGTCAATTGGATTTAGCTCAACTAGTTAAATTAATAATAACCTCCTTTAAATGTTGTAGTTTCAATTATGCCTCATCATTAAATAAATTGATAGGAAGCAYTTATAGCCGTGACTTTTAAAAAACTACCAACAAACGTTACAAGTATTTATAATTACTAGACAACTATTTTTCAAGCCGCACAACCCCTTAATTTTTTAACCCACCATACACACATTAGTGATTGTCTAGTGTACTAAGTAGTCACATTAGTTTTCTTATTTTTTTTAAGTAATATTTTTGTATTAACGTATAGGGATGAGGGTTCGAACTTACAACTCTTTGGTTGGAGATATATACCAAATACCATTGAGCGATGCTTGCTTTGGCTCAATATAAATTTCTCTAGCGGTAATGTTTATATTAATTTTAAAGATCAGTAATATAAGTAGAATTTTTTAATAATGGAGATATAACTTAAACTAAAAATACAGTTCTATTTGATAAAAATTATTGTAACTCATAATTGATTTGTATAAGGCTAATTTTAAAATTTTAAAATACTATGATCTAATATAAAAGTTAAAACTGTTGTGTTGCAAAATTTTCCAGTCAATGAAAATGTTAATTGCAATCTTAATTGTCACGGACCGCCATTGACAAGTAAACTGCAATTTTCCTTTTCCAAAGTCGGAGCAAGAAGTACTCCTTGGTCCCAATTTCCTCGATTTTTAAAAAATATTATAAGTAAGGCTCTATTGAAAACTATTTCCTTTTTATTTTTTAAAAAAATTATATTTCATTCGTTCGTATATTTATCCTCTACTTACAAAAGCACACACTGAAATTCATAGCTAAATTTAGAGAGAGAAAAAAAGGTTAAAACTACTCTTTCTAGTTTTCAAAATTAAAGGAATTGATAAGTGGGAGTAGTAATTATAAATTTAATTTAAAAACAAAATAAAAATTAATTAATTATCCAACAGAATATAAAGATAAGATAAAAATTTTAAAATGGCAGTATGAAGTAAATTAAAATTGTCTAAACGTTAAATTTTAATTTTTTTTTACCAAGTTTTTTCTATAATATTTAAATCTTTAACTTATTAAATCTGGATCAAAGCATTTTTACTTTCCAATTATAGGTTCAAAAAACATCCTCGTCAATAATTTATCATTTCCTTAAATTTTCTTTTGTTAGTTTAATAATGTTGGAATGAAATTTGAACCAGTTAAATTATATTCAAGTAACTCAACTACTCATTATTTGGGGTGAAATTAATTTCAAGTACTTGGTCAAACTTTTAAAGAGAGATTTGTTAATAATTTATATTATATTTACTTTTTAAGAAACATTGTCATTTGGCGACAGAAATCCAACCCACAAAGTAGATGGAAACTTGAGCTTAAGATAACCAATTTGATTTGATTAATTGCATTTCATAAAATTTTGAGTGAAAAAGAAAAAGATTTTGTTGAATGTTATTTAAAATTAAGTTCAAACTAAGGTTAAGCAACGCAATACAATTTAACCAAAAAAAGAGAGTCAAATTCCATTCCAATTTAGTTTTCCAGTATATTTCACTAATTTGAACAAAAACCGTACAACACAACCAATCAGTAATCAGTAATCACAACCCCAAAAAGAAAAAAGAAAAAAAATTTAGTTTTCCAGTATATTTCACTAATTTGAACAAAAACCGTACAACACAACCAATCAGTAATCAGTAATCACAACCCCAAAAAGAAAAAARAAAAAAGAAAAAAGAAATTCAAGAGAATTCTCGCCGGAGACTTTCTTGGAGCCAGTAGCGAGACGCATCCATCAAATCGGGGCTTAATCTGAACATAAGAACACAAAATTCCATCTGATTGAGAGCGCCGTCGCCGTCGAAATCCCCTTCCGTCAACATCCCCCTGAGCTCCTCGTCGCTCAGATCCCCCAGCCCTAGCGCCGCTGCATTCCGCTTCAAGCTCTCGAAATTGATCACTCCTTTCTCTCTGTCCATCAGAAGGTTGAATCCGTTGCAGAGCTCTCCGATCAGCCCCTCGCCGCCGAGCTTCCAGGCCATCGCCGGCAGCCAATCTTCGAATCCGGATTGAGATTGGGGGCTTTGGTTCTTCGCGGCCATTTTTGATCGATGGATTCGGAAATTTCAGAGAGAGAGAAGTAGGTTCGTTTGATTTCTGTAGAGAACAAAGAAATTGGATTTTGTTATATAGAGCGGAGGCTGGGATTTTCCGAGAAGGAGAGGCCATTAAAGACAACTAAGATACAGATAATGAAGTTTTGCAGGCGAGGCATCTTCTTAGAAGCTACTGAGGGTACAATCGTCATTTCGTTCAAGGATGCTTCTCCTTCAACCAATCCACTTCATTGCGCTATAACTGCCAGTGTAACTCGATTAAATAATATCTTTACTTTTACATTTTTATTATATTTTTTTGTGTACCATTCTTTTTAATTATGTTTTAGGTAACTATTCTAATAAATGTTACCTATGTATTTGTTTTACTTTCAAATATTACTTTATTATTTACCGATTATAATTAAACTTACAAATTTGGTCGGAAGGTTCTTATACTTAAAAAGTTTCTTATTTAAATTTTTGTATTTATTTGGTCTTTGTATTTTATAAAAAAAATTAATAGATCATAGTAGATCCCCGAATTTTAGAACCTTATTGTTAATTTTATCCGTGATTAATATTTTTGTAGCATGGTGAATTATTGTTTATAACCCTATTGATTTGAGTATTACAGTGATGAACTAATTTCAAATAAATTATGATGTTTGGAGGCATGATTGTAGAATTAATGGAATTAATACAATACCCTATTAGATGCATATTGAAATTACAATTATAAAGACTTGTTAAAAATTTATCAAGTATTAAATTGACGTAATCTTCAAAATTTAGAGACMTATTAAAAATATTTTAAATTATAGGGACTTAGCATGATTATAATTTAAATTTTTGTTGAACAAACGGATGGTCAAGTATTGATATACCTATCTAAAATATAAAGTAAAATAGCTCAAATATAACTTTTATTGGCAACTTTTTAAAGCAAAATCTGAGTCTCTAAATAAAGTAAATCAAATTACTTTATTTGGATATACAAATTAAGTGGAATTAAATGTGATGATTATTAAAAGGTTTGGTAAAGTTTTTTCTTTCCTTCTTTTTAATAAAGAAAATATAATTACATGTCCCGATCTCTTTAATTCARGAACGATAAAACAATAATTTTATTTATGTTTTGGAATAAATAGAAAATAAACTATAATTTTTATTTCGAGGAATTAGATTTGATGTTAGTAGAGGTGTTGGATTTGGTCTTTGTATGGGGTATGAGCGCGAGAGGTGACGAATGCGATGATGCCAATAATCTGAAGTCGAGTCAAKGAATGGGCAACCCACCATCAACTCAACTCGGTCTATTTGACTTCGTTGACCTTCTAATTTTGACCATTTCAAACAACTGCAAAATTCCAATTACCAATTTACCAAATACTATTTCACGTAAATTTCTTTTAATAATAATAAAATAATAATAAATAATAAATTTCACCTAAATTTCTCAGTCATCAATCAATTTTAATATTACCAACTACTGAAATTAAATTTAAAAATATTATAATACAAAAGATTAAATATAAATTTTTTTAAGTAATCTGAATTAAAAAAATACTCAAACATTACTGACTAAAACATATATTTAATTTTTGATTAACAATCCAGCGTTGAAAAAAAAAAGACTAAAAATAGCTAATAGACAAATAAAATAAAGCAAACTTATGCTCACAGTCAACAAAAAGCTATCAAAATAGTTTTTTCTTTTAGTTCAAAGGTGGGAATTCAAACCTCCGACCCTTTTGATCAATGATATATATACTTTAACAACTATACTTAGGGCCGGTAAGTTTTTCAACTTTCTTGATCTACCAGCATGAAGAAACATACATGATATTAAGAAAAATTATAGTTGATTTACTTTGATTTAATTGTTACTTTGATTTTTTTTTTAAATTTATAATTGCACATCTTTTATGTCTAAAGTTTTGAAGCGTACACAATTTTTTTTTTATACCAATTACTCTAGACTTCACCAACATCACTAACATAAACTTAGCTCAACAATAATTAGTTAAAGAACATTGTTTGTTTCTCTCTTTTCTCAGAGATCGAAGGTTCAATCTCCCATTTCATATTAACAAAATAATAATAAATTACCATATGCTTGCGTGACCAAAATATTCTATTAATCCCAATAGTTACCCACCTGACAAGAATTTACATTTATTCTGTCAWTGACCCAATAAAAACAAATTATTATTTAAAATTCAATTTGAATATGCAAGTTTAATTTGACTCTACAATTAAAGAAAGGGCAGAGCAAATAAGGAAGAAGAGATGGCATTAATTCGTAGTTTTCCTCTAATTTGGCCACATAACACCCATAAAAGAGAATTTCTGGCACCGCCCATGAAATTAAATACATTAGTAAAAAAGAATTAACCTTTAAAATTATTTAAACTCAATTAGTGTTAGTATTTGTTATTAGAATATTAGTTGTTGGGTGAGGTTGATTATAATATCCACATGGATTACACGTCAACATCTATTGTGTTTGTAAGGGAGGTGTTATGTGAAGTTTGGAGACTACTTTTTGATATATTAAAAAAGCTAAAATTAAATAAAACGTTTTAAATATGCGGTAACTGAAATGAGTTAGAAGTACGTGAATCTCTCGTCAAACACGTTGGAAGAACTTTGGAGTTGGCTTCTATGATAGAAAAAGAAATTTGGTTTTGTTATGGAGAAATAACGCAATTTAGGTCAAAAATCTTGTTCATATGGCGTGGAAACAGTCCAATCTACACACCCCTATCACACACTAAAATGTTTTGTGACCCTTTTTCTTTTCTAAGTTGTCCCCACCCTTGATTTGGTTCCATTTTTTTTCCCTAGATCTAGAATGGATGTCTGTCAAGGATCCCACATTGAAAAGGAAGGGACCTTACATAAGTTTATAATAGAAAGGAAGAGACCTTACATAAGTTTATAATAGACATGGGCTACTCCTCTCATTGTCAATTGATTTTGAAATGGAACCCCCATGAATATTAATAATGTTGAACTAACATAACGGATGAATTCGATTAACCGAATGGATCGAAGTTGACTAAATCCATCAAAATTGAATCGAGGTTCCTCAATTTTGAGTTTTCTAATTTTTCTCTCCCTCTCTTTCCCTACCACAATCGCTTCGTTGGCTGCCCTACTTTGGCTAGCCTCCATCTCATTGTCATGCTATCTCATTGATGTGCAGAAACTTACTATGCAAATGTCGTTCAGGACTTCATATCAAAAGGATAAAATGACTTAACAAGGTTTATAAATACACAAGTTATTTCTCTCATTGCTCAATTGACTTTTTAGATAGAGAATTCTATGTGTATTAATACGGTGTATAGAATTCTATGTATATTAATTCAGTGTCAGAGCCCAACAAGCTCAATATGTGGCCTAAAAAGAAAAAAAAAATTAGGCTATTTCCTCCCTCATTGTAATGTATATTAATAAATGTGCCTCCACATTCGTAGGTAGTAAATTGGTGAATCAATAGGTAGATCTCACCAGGGTTAAAATATGCAAGAATTTCTGAAACTATGATAAATCGTGCAAATTAATCGTTATTAATTTTCATTCTCACTTAAACAAGATAAATATGTTTATTTGAAGGGGTATAAAATGTAATTAAGTTCTAATGCTAGAAATTTTTTAAATTTATGATCCTAATTTTCTATTATCTTTGTTCAGTTGGTATCAAGATTCTAAACGCTTTATCCCTAAGTTGAATATCGTGCTCTTTTTTATCATAGCTATTAGAATGTTGTAGGCCATTCAACAACGAAGGATTGTTTGAACATTCTCAATAGGAGAGGTAGTATTAGCGGCTGGAATGCAACTAATATTGCCCTTATCCCCAAATGCAAACATCCTAAAGTTGTAGCTGATTATAGACAGATTAGTCTATGAAATGTCTCCTACAAGATTGTCACCAAGGTACTTACTAATCTATTTAAAAAACTTTTAGATGCAGTTATCTTTCCAGTGCAATCAGCTTTCATCACGAATAGGGCAATAACCGACAATATTATCATTGGCCACAATGTATCCAAACCAAAAAACTGGTTCCTCTGGTCTGGCTACCCTTAAATTAGACCTCAACAAGGCTTTTGATAGAGTTGARTGAGTTTACACTGAAAGATTGATGCTCAAGCTTTGTTTTGCTAAATAGCGGGTTGGTCTTATTATGAGGTGCATCTATCCAACAGGTTTTCAATTCTTCTCAACTACAATCCCATAGGAACYATCACTCCTTCACGAGGTGTTTGCCAAGCCGACCCCCACTCTCTCCTTACTTATTTGTCCTTTGTGCGAAAGGATTATCTATGCTTTTATATGGGGCAAACTCTATGGGGAACCTTCACAGGCTCTCTTTTAATCCTTTTGGCCCTACTTTCTCTCACGTATTGTTTGCGGATAATAGCTTAATTTTCCTCAAGAACGCTGAGCTTGAGTGTGTGTTCTTAAAAGACTTGCTCGCAACCTATGGCAAGGCGTCAGGTTAAAGTATTAACTTTGCCAAATCTGCTTTGATGTTTTCTCCCAAGATCTCCATGTTAATAGATAGCGCTATCTTCGCTCTCTTCTTGGTATCACGCTTATGGAAATCTTGGTAAATATCTTGGGTCTTTCTTCCTCTTTCTCCAGAAGGAAAAGCCAAGATTTTGGAATTTTCTTAAGTAGAGAATCTGGAAGGGTATGCAAGGGTGGAAGCGAAATCTTCATCCTGCTGGGGGCAAAGATGTCCTTATTAAAAGTGTTGGTCAGACTATTCCTTCTTATACCATGAATGTATTCCATCTCCCAAAAGGGTTCTGTGACAATATTTCTAGATCTCTCCWTTGCTTTTGGTGGGGCTCCACTCAAGATTAGAGGAAACTGCACTGGATGAGTTGGAATTGTATGTGTTGGCCAAAAGAACTTGGGGGGCTAAACTTCAGGGATCTTGAAGGCTTTAATAAAGCTCTAATAGCTAAGCAAGTTTGACGATTCCTTCAACTTGCTCGCTACACAAGTGGTAAAAGCCATCTACTTCCCTGACACTACTATCCTTTAAGCAGATTTACTTTCATCTTCCTCCTACTTTTAGAAAAGTCTAATATGTGGTAGAGATCTCCTCCTCCAAGGGTYCTGTAAACGTATAGAAAATGGTGATTCTACTCAGGTGTTTCATGATCCTTAGATTCCTAGGAAATGGACTTTTAAGATGCGGACAGGGATATTCGGGTTTCTCATTTTATCAACCCAGGTGGCTTTTGGAATATTAATCACCTTCGGTCCCTACTCTGCCAAGAAGACATTGAGCTTATTCTCTCAATTCCCCCGAGCTACTACTCTATAGCTGACTTTTGGCAATGACATTGTGAAAAAAAGGGCTTGTTTAGTGTTAAAAGTGCCTATAAACTCTACATCAACTGCAGTTTCCTCTTTGAAACCTCTTGCTTCAACTAGTTCAACATTGACGAGTAAAGTTTGGCACGATATTTGGCATCTCAACATCCCTCTTAAAATCAGAGTTTTTCTATGGAGAGTTATGTCAGCTCCTCCACCGACTACACAGGAATCGCCAGCATCACGAGCACCATCTGCAGCACTCAAGGCACCTGAGCAAGAGCAGGCTGCCTTGAAGAAACGGTCGGGCAGAAGGTGGTTTGTGAAGGTGTCCAAGATTGCTAGATCGAGCACGCACAATATTCTTCCTACATTATATAATTTRCAGAGGAAAGAGTTAGAGTTATCATTGTACTGCCCTTGCTGTACCASAAAGCTGGAAAAAACAGCTCATGCCCTTCTTTCCCACTCTAGATCCAGGGACATTTGGCGGCACGTTCTACTGACAGTTTCTATCCCAAATGATCATCTCTCGAAGTTCTCTGGTTTATGGTTTCATCATCTAAGTCACAAGGATAATTCAGATAAGGAGCTTGCTGCAATTGTGATTTGATCAATCTTGAATGATCAAARTCAGGCTAACTAAAATAAACAAATCTCAGATGTTCGAACTAAAAGTAATTGGATTACCTCTTATGCTGAAACCGTACGCTCGGCATTGGGGATTTCGCAGCCTAATCAGATCCCTAGGAGCAAATCGGAGCAGCCGTGGTGCCTTCCTCTGCTGGGTTGGTTTCTCTTTTCAATGTGGACGCTACCTATAGTGAGGGTGGAAATTCTGTGGGGCTGGGGTTGCTAATTTGAGATTCCAATGGTTGTATCAAGGCAGCCCACTCCGTTCATCCTAGATTCACTCTTAGCCCTTTACTCGCAGAAATCTTGGCTATCCTTAAGGGTCTTCATTTTGCCCATTCGTTGAGTATTGGTAGCATCCTCGTTCATTCTGTTTCAACCCGAGCTATTGGGCTCATACATGGTTCTTCTCTTCCTCTTGGTGCTGAAGGCGTGTGGATCCATGATTTAAAGGTTAAAGCTTGCGAGTTCACCTATTCCTCCTTCGTGCATGTTTCCCATGAGAGGAATCATCTAGCTGACTTGTTAGTGAAACAGGGGCTTCAATCATTGTCTTTTAGCTTCTGGCTTGATAACTTTCCTCTTTGGCTTTCCAATCTTATCCTTAATGAAAGCCCCTCATTTGTATCCCATGTGGCATTTTCTTCTAAATGAAATTTCATTTCATCCAAAAAAAAGTTCTAAATGTTGATGTCGATAGAAATGTCGATGTCTCAATTTCATGGAAATATTTATAAAATGTCGATATCGATAGATATTTTTGTAAAAGTTAAAAAAATTAAAAAAATTGTAAAAATTATTTAAATTAATAAATAAAATTATTTCTATTTCTAAATAAGTTAAAATTGACTAATATTAATATTATGTATACATTTGTGACATTTTGTTGATATTTTTCATATTTTTGTCGATTCTTTTGTAATRTGATGGAAATGCCAATTTACCTTTTATGTCGATGTCGAACTCATGAATATATGGAAATATCGATGGACATGTTGACATGTCGACGAATATTTAATACCATGGTTGATACAACGATGATAACAATATATAGCAACACTATCAAACAGTATGTTGAGTTTGGTGTC